AAATGTTAAAAAAAAAAAAAAAAGACTTGATGACAAATCTTTCCCAAGATGGATAGCTCTATCCTGCTAATTTACTCATTTCATGTTTTAGGTCCAGGGACTGAACCCAGGGGTGCTGAGCTACATCCCTAGCCGTTTAGAACAGTCTCTCTCTCGAGACAGGCTCTTGCTAAGGCACCAAGTTTCCCAAGCTGATGTCCAACTTGCAGTCCTGCCTCTCCTTCCCAGAGTGCTGACACAGGTGTGTACTAGGCTTAGCAGGGCCTGTTATTTTAAAAAAGACTTATGTAATCAAAGATGTGAAATGTCTGAAAAGAGCAAAAGTACATTAAGCCACAGAAACAATAGCAGTGTTTTGATGACTGTTGATGAAAGGAAACATGACCCCATAAACAGGGAGGAAAGGAGAACTGCTTGATTTCTACTGGAATAAAAGCAGGTGAGACAGAAGCTATACTACTGATTTATACAAGTAGTGTCAGAAAGTAAATTTGTATTGAGGAAGATGTCAAGGCAACAAAGCCATCTTCAGAGAATAAGGTCATACACTCAGCGTTAGGAGCTGGCTGGTGGACCACTGAGCCAGTGAGTCTCAATGAACAGACATGCAATGCATCACTTGTGCAGCTTTTAAAAACTCTTTAACTCAGGCCAGAGATATAGCTCAGTGGCCATGCACGCCTGCTAAGTGCAAGGTCCTGAGTTCCACTCTTGGTAACAAACAAGAAAAAAAAAAGAACAAAATTAACTCCATAAACATGTAAAAACACAGCCCCAAATCGGTGAGGAAAAAACTGACAGAATGGAAGAGAGAAACAAGTAATTCAACAATAGTAAAGATACCAACACTAGCTTTCCATAATGGATAGAACAACTAGAAAAGACAAACAAGGGAAGAGAAGACTGGAACACCACCATTCACCAGCCAGAGCCCACAGCTTTCTTGGGCACACTCGCTCTACCCCGTCATAGTGGACTATCCATTCTCGGCAATACATATGGAACTTCCTCCAGGGTGGAGTATATGGTGCTTGAAAAAAGTCCTAATAAATTCAACATGATTGAGATTATAAAAATGAAGCATTTAGAATATATGCAGTGTATTATTTGTTGAAACTGTACTTTCAATTTGATTTGAAACTGTCTCATTGCTATATGTTTATCAATAAAACTTTGAAAAGAAAAAAAATGAAGCATTTATAATGAAACTGGAAATCTGTAACAAGAAAACGTGAAAACTTACAAATACACAGGATTTAAATAACATACACTAAGTAGCCAATGTGTTAAGAAATCACAGGGGAAATGAGACACAAATGAAATAGTCACCAGGGCGTATCATATTTATGGACAGGCGAGACGGGACATGAGAGGAAATTTCTGGGTATGAACATCTGTATTTAGGTGTGGTGGTGCATACCTATAGTCCCAGCTACTTTGGAGGATGAGTTAAGAGAATCATTTGTGAGACTGGGATGGGCAACATAGTGAGACATATCTCAAAAATCAACCAACCAACCTCAAATCTATAACCTAATTCCTCACCCTAAGAGAAATGAAAAAAATCAAAACTAAAGCTAAAATTTTCTTCAAAGGAAAGTCCATTACTAGATATCTTCCAAACATCTAATGTCAAGTCTTCTTAATTGCTTTCAAAATACAGATTACACTTCACTTTATGAGGCCAGCATGCCAGTGATCTCAAAGTCAGATAAAGACATCATAAGGAAGTTACACACTCGACTCTCAACATTCAGGGAAAAATCCCTGTAAAATACTAGAAAACTGAATTCAACAACATATAAAGAAGATCACACACTATAACCAAGTAGGATTTATCTCAGGAATGCAAGGTTGGTTTAACATGTATCGACAGAAAAGGATAAAATCCCAGTAGATCATCTCAAGAAACAGGGAAGCACCGCCCAACATAACCCCTATAGCAAACATGGAGGTCTGTTCACTTTTTTTTTTCTTTTGAGATGGGGTCCTGCCATGCATGTTCAGGCTGACCTCACCCTCACTTTGTAGTCCAGGCTGCCCTTGAATTTGTGGCGATCCTTCTGCCTCTGCCTTCGGAGTGCTGGGGTTACTAGCATGAACTGGCACACCTGGCTTGTTCACTACATTTCTATTTGACAATCTACTATGTGAATTTCTGGCCAGAGACAATTAATCAAGAAAATGAAATAAATTAGATCTAGATTGGAAAAGATGAACAAAAATTGCCCTCCATATGCAAATGACATACACAGAAAATCCTAAGAAATCTAATAAAAGATATTGGTAGATAAGTCCAGTAAGTCTGTAAGATAAAGATCAGGGTACAAAAACACTGTAATTCTGTAGGGTAGAGTCTTTTTTTTTGCGGAACCGGGGATTGAACTTAGATCCTTGAGTTTGCCAGTCAAGCGCTTATCCTACTGAGCCATCTCCCCGGCCCCTAGGGTAGAGTCTTGACACATGCTGTAACACGAATGAATCTTACACGATAACCAAGTCCCAGAGTCAGATATAAAAGGGTATATGCTGTACGATTGTATTTATACAAGATTCCCAAAAAGGTGACTCTACAGATAAAGAGATTTATGGTTCCCAGGGCTGGAAAATATAAGGTAGTTACTGTTAATGGGGGTATGAGGTTTGTTTTTCTAAGGTGAAGAAAATGTTCTAGAATTAAGATGGTTGTACAAGCTTGTGAAGATACTTAAAGCTACTGAGATGTATATTTTAGCTGCCTAAATTTATGGTAAGTAAATTATATCTCAACTAAAAAACAACAGGAAAAAGAAGACTTCAGCCCTCTACCAACATGACTGCTGCAATTAATCAAAAGAATGTTATCAACAGGAATATATTCTCAGGTATGCTGAGGTGAAGGCTGAGAATTGCTCTTGAGAAGTTTATAAATATTCCTCATCCACAAGCATACAGTTTAACAAAATACTAGAATATTGTTCTTACCAATAAGGCCAAAACATTTACTTTATACATGTAAAGTTGTTCTCCAACTTTCTCTTTTTGGTACCAGGAATTGAAGTCAGGATCTTGTGCTTGCCAGGCAGGTGCTGTGCCACTGAGCTATACCCCCAGCTCTCCTAACTCTTTTGAATTTTCTCTCTTAAAACAAATACTATACAAAGTAGAAAGAATATCCTGGGCAGATAGAATTTATTATTAACCAGTGAACACTGTGGAACCTCTTATACTCATCCTTTTATCTCACAAATATTTATTGAGCACTTACTATATGCAAACCACTCTCCTAAGCATGGGGGAGGTGATGGGGAGTGACAGTTAAAAATCCTTATCCAAGGGTAGGGTGCACGTCTGTAATCCCAGAACTCAGGAGGCTGAGGCAGGAGGATCACTGTGAGTTTGAGGCCAGCCTGGACTACATAGCAAGCTCAAGGCCAGCCTGAACTACATGGCCCAGACCCTGTCTCAAAAAAGCAAAATAAAATGAAACAAAACAAAACATCCAGGTGGAGGCAGAGAAGCCACAACAGAAGGAAGGAGGGATTATCAGAGAGTGACTGATCATCCTGAAGAAAATCAAGTGGGTAATTCAGCGGGATTTCTGCCCCAGGTCACTATGAAGGGGATCTCCATTCTTGCACTTCATTTGGGTATAGCAGGAGACGACATTACATACAAATGGAAACAGTGTTCCTATCCTCTCCCCAGAGTCACGACACATTCTGTCTCTGAAATACATGCAAGTGACATTCAGGTATGTACTTTCCACACTGATCTTTGGAACTCAGTAACACACAGTGGCAGTCTTTTTATTTTATTATTTATTTATTTTAATACAAAGCTTTGGCATTAGCAATTTTATGAAAAAATAAAATGTACTAAAAATAAACGCTTGTGTGGCATGATTGGTAAATGATGCACAAAAATAGGTTCTTTTTTCCTCAAGGCAATCAGTCAGAAAGCAGTTTTTTCTTCTTCAAAACCATTCTACCCTATGGAATAAAAGGGAAAAAGAGGTCGTGAATTAGTTACAGGGCAGCTGTCAGTCTTTTACAATAACAGGGTTGCGCCTGACTAACGGGTGGTCTGAGACTGCCCCTTCCTAATCCCTTCTGGTATAGCAGTGCACATCAGGATTTGCCTGAAGTCCAGTTCCAGACTTGTAACTGAAGTGGTTGTTATCTTAGAAGTGTTTTAATATTCCCCAAAGGAATGCAGGAACAAGCACAAGCTAACAGCAAAATGTTCCATTATGTCGTTTACAGCTTCTTCTGGTCTGAACTAAGAGCTGAGTGTGCTATAATCTGAGTTGCTTTCTTTAAACTTTGTTCCTCTTATACCTCTCACACAAGCGTGGGATTACTTATTCTGACAGAAGAATTGAAGATCACAGACTTCGGCTATCATTCTGTTTCAGGTGCGTGCATGTATTTACTTCTGTCCTTCCTATCAGCTGCTACAAAGTGCCTGGAGTCTTGGCTTCCTGCGCCCCCTTAGCTCAGCCTGCCGCCTTCCTACGTTCTGCCTGGGCGAGCCCTGACCAGCCCTTACACTAGGACTGCCCCGTGGACCCTTCCACAGTCCGGCCCTCTCGCCAGGGGCTTAGACTGCCGCGCTATCTCCCCAGCCCCAGCCCTGGCCTGCAGTTTCCCAATCGTGTCCCCAGCTCTGATCTTTTCTCTGTGCGGAGTTCCAGGTACACTCTTCTATCTGCTTTCACCTCCGGCTGCCGCGTAATTCTCTAGCATCTCTCGAATCCATTTCCTCCCACTACCGTGATTCACCCCTTGAACTTGATTTTGACCTAATGTATGTTCCTGCCTGGACTCTCTACCATTTCAAAGACACTCCTCAGCCACAGGAGATACCCCCACCATAAGAAAGTCTGAAGTGTTGTGCTGTGCCGATTGTAGATGCAGCAAAGCACACATCTCCCTGAATGTGCTCTGCTTCTTCCTCACTGTGGCTCGAGTCACTTCCACGTGGAGCACGTTCAGCTCTGCCAAGCTGGGACTGGAAGTGCTCTGTGCTCCCTCCCTGTCTCGCCCCCTTCCTGCCCTCCCTGAAATGCAGACCATGCCTCCCTGTCTCCATTCCTATGAGCTTGGCACCCAAAAAGCACAGGGGAAATGGCATAAAAATGAATGAGGCTTTAAAAAAAATGTATTTAGTGGAGGGTCTACAGGGTCTCACTGACACAGATCAGACTCGTAGTGGTTTTCCTGTTTTCAGCCTTCCCAGTGCTGGGATTACAGGTGCACACCACCATGCCCAGTCTTAATCACTGTCTCAGTGTGCCCCAGGGGCAGGGCCGCATGACAGGCCAGGGACTGGGGATGGAGCCCCTGGATCCCGTGCCCGCTTGCGGGTGCTTTAATCCGCTGAGCTGTATTTCAGCGGGCCCCTAATGGTCTTTTTTAAAAAAATTATTCATTCATTTATTTATTTATTATTTGGTACAGACAGGCGTGTGCTTGGTTTTGATGGCTGGCACAACATGTACGGCACATGGCACCGGGGTCAAACCCCGGTCACTGCACATGCCAGGCAGGTGCTTGGACTTCTGAGCCATCTCCCCAGCCTCCAACTTTCCTTCCTTCCTTCCTTCCTTCCTTCTAAGTGTATTTGGTACAGACTATCATTGCACAGCTTGGACTCGTGCTGACCGTCCTGTCTCAGCCTCCTCAGTGCTGGGATTACAGGTTTGTGCCATCGTGCGGGGCTCGGGGCTGGCTCACTGGGCTGGGGGTGGGGCCAGCGGGGTATGTGGTGCCAGACATCAAATCCTGGTCCTGTGCTTGCCTAAGCAGGCACTTGTTCTCTGAGCTATCGTGCTGGCCCCCTAATTGTTTTTAATACTTTTTGCAACCATATTTCTAGAAACTAAATTTGTCTTTTCCCATCACATTATGTGGAACTCTCAAGTGGATTTCTGGAGCAGTCAAGGACAAACTGCAGAAAGGAAAGTTGGACCAGAACTCCAGTGTCCTTTTCCTACAGTGTCTTTCAAGAGTCATTCAATCCCTCTGCGCCCCAGTCTATTCTTTTGTGTCTAAATATCTTAAGAGTGAGTATAAGGAGAAATAAATACAGAGAAAGAAGAGGATCTATTATCTAGCAGTATATCCTAAATAGAAGGTACAGTATTTTTAAATCTTTGACGGAATCATGACAAGAAAAATAGTCTCAATAAAATAACAGATGGTGCTAGTATGAGCAAAAAGCAACTAGCTAAAAATAAAAATTTAGAATTCCTGAGTTTTAGTTTTTGTTTTTTGGTATCAGGAGTTGAACTCAGGACCTTGCCCTTGCCAGGTAGGGGCTTATGCACTGAGCTACATCCCCTGCCCAAAGTTTAGAATTCTTTAGATCAGTGTTTCAAAAACTCTAAGACAGCATCTTATAGTATAGTTTAAGTATCTTAAAGGTTTATAAAATCAATTTGATATTCAGGATTAGCATTAATAAAACCAATAAAGTATAGGATAAATTATATTAGAGAATATGTAAGAGAATTCTGTATGGGAATTCAGGTAGGAAAGAGTAAAACTTGTTTTAGTCATACATGTGAGAGTTTAGGTTACAATGCAAAACACATTTCTTACTGTAGGAGGATGGCAGAAAGAAAGTCTGAAAAAGTGCTTTTTCAAACTCAAGGTTCAGAAAAAGGTGACTGGAAAGCAACAAAACCCTTGTCCTCAGGCACTGACCTTTCTTAGGAGACAATTCAAGAGGAAAACTGAACCCTTACTACTCTGGCCTTACAGATTCTGCAAGACTAGCTTACTGTATCCTGTATACCACAGATGGATAACTGCCTGGTAGAAAGTCCTCTCTTATATTTGGTGGAAACCTTCTATGTGCTGTCCCCAGCACTCTAGGTCTAGAGAGGAAGTGTAGCCCTCTATGTGTGTGGCTGGCTAACATGAGGCTATTATGAACATTAAATCAGCAAACGTAATAAAACCCAGTACAAGAGCAAGTCTTCGGGCTGGTGAGATGGCTCAGTGGTCTAAAGCACCTACTTAGAACAAACTTAACAAAGCACAGGGACCGCGGTTCAATCCCCCAGCACCACATGCCAGCCAGCCCCGCCCCCTGGTGGGCTGAGCTGGCCACACACACAAAATAAATGAAATAAATAAATAATTAAAAAAAAAAAAAAAAAAAAAGAGCAAGTCTTCAGTGGGCAATGCATAAAGCTGTAACTATTCCATCTTTAAGGGTCCCTCAAATAGCCGAAACACTTATCACATCACTTCTGTTCCATCTTTTCTAAGTTGAGTGTCCTGAGACATCAAATGATTAATTTTTTTTTTTTTTTCAGTACCAGGGATTGAACTCAGGACCCTGCGCTTGCCAGGCAAGTGCTTGTTCTACTGAGCTATCTCCCCAGCCCAAATGATTAATTTTTGATGTCTGAGGTTCCAAATAATCTGTAATTATTCTGAAAGAGAGACATGCATAGAATATTCAGTACAGAGCAAACAAGAAGCAATCCCTCTTATCCGGCCAACAAACTTGTACTACACGCCTAAAAGGCAGAATATCACCAAGAATATCACTGGGGATGTAGGAGCCCACAACTTGCTAAAAAACCCCTCAAAGCTAGGGTTTCGTTTTTCTCTTTTTTGGTTTGGTTTTGTTCTTGGAATGCTGGGGACCAAGCCTACAGCACCATACATGCACTTCAGGTAAGAGCCCTATCCCTCAGCTACCACCCTAGTCCAAGCCAGGGTTTCTGAACATTTGTTCCTGTTACTTCATCATATTAGCCATGTCAGGTTCATTTCTTCCTGCTGAGACTGTCTTGAATGGTGAGGCCTTGATTTGTATGAATCAAGATTGTAGGTACAGGAAAAGGGCTCTGAATATACCTAGTGTAACTTCTCATTCAACTTAAAAATCTCTCCTACATCACCAACACCTTTGTTCAAGTAAAAATAATAATGAAAAAAATATTTTTAATGTATTTGGTACAGGGTCTCACTACGCAACTTGGATTTGTAGTGACCCTCCTCTTTTCAGCCTCCCAGCACTGGGGATTACAGGTGTGCGCTATCACGCCCAGACTCGGTCAGTGGCTCAGTGCACTGGGGGGTGGGGTCGGCACGTGGAACCAGGGATTGAACCCCAGTCCCTGTGCTTGCCTAAGCAGGCGCTTAGTCCGCTGAGCTATCTTGCTGGCCCTAATAATGAAAATATGAGATACAAATATAAGCTGGTATTTGTTGGGATTTCTCAAGCTTTAGCTAAATAAGTTGAGCAAAAATCTTCCTTTGGGAATTAAAGTTCAATAATCTGGCTTATGTAGTTATCAATAAGCAGAGGTGTGTAAAGCTAGTACATGATTTACCTTGCATTTACCCGCTTCTCTGACTACCATCCTCTTGTCTTTGCAGTCTCAAATTTAGCAGACCGTGTGCAGTGTAAACAACTTCAAGGCGCAGTCACAGCGCAGTGCTTAGGCAGACAGCACCGGCTCACTGGAATGCGTGGCCGGACTTGGCCTGAGTTCAGAAGGAGCCAGCAGCGTCAGCCTTTGTCAGCCCGGAGCCCGGGCAAGGCAGAGGGAGCACTTCTGCCCGGGGCAGCAGCTGCCCGCCCGCACACCTGTCCTGCTGCCTCCTGCCCGGGGTCAGGAGGGAGTGCAGAGCCAAACACCTACTGAGGCTGTGCTATGCAAGTCAGTGACCACTAGCGCTGGGAGGAAACGGGACAGCTCTACTTGGCTAGTGAGAAGGAAGGTATTAGTTTTTAAATGATCATTAAAATGTCAAAAGGCCTTTAGATCTGTTTATATAAAAGATTCTCTTATAAATGAATGAGGTTACCCAGAAAATTAAACCAGGTGTTTAAAATGTAAACAGGGATCTCATTTCAGTTGTTTCTTATTGACAAAGGTAAAAAGATAAAGAAGACAGGATTTAAACAATTGATAAATGAATAATTATGAACTTATTTTCTAAAAATCCTCTTTCTGGAATAAAATTAAACTGAAATTTTTCCTCCAACGTTTTTGAGACACTGCATAAAAGTGATTATTCATTATCTTTTCAATTACCTTTCAGAGAAAGGCCTTTAAAAATTAAGCATTAATTCATGCTTATTAACGCAAATACAAAACAAACCCAAAAGTACAAAAGCAAAACACTACCCCATTCTCATGTAAGCTAACTGCTGTGAGCGTCCCCTTCGTGCGCTCAGCGTGTACATGCACACCCACGCCCACACACTCTCAGCCTCTCAATGGAACCAGGAACACTGTCCTTCAGTGGGTCTCATGGAAGCGTGTAAGCCACAGTCCAGGGGTAGCTGCAGTAGCAGCCCCCTACAGAGGCCCACGAGAGGAGGGAGGGCTAAGGCATGGACCCTGCGATCCAGAACTTAGCTTCAGAGTCATGCAGGCACTTATGCGTGGAACTAAGACACTATGACGCAGGTCCCTGGGCTTCTAGTCGGTTTCACACCAGCTGAGCATTCTTTTTAATATCTGATACATATGCTGGGCATCTGGCAGATTCTACTGCCAGGCAGGTGACCCATGAAATGACTTCATAATTCTGTACAAGTGCCCAGGATGTCACTATTTGCTTGCACTGGCTATAGCTTATTGGTAAAGTTTTTACCAACATTATTTACTTACATTACTTTTAGCTGATGGCTCAGCATGGGAGTAAGTAAAAGAGGCGGCTGCAGGCAAAACAAACATTTCCCCTGAACTGAGGTGTGAAACTAGCACCACTGACCTCTGTGGTCCTGTATCCTCTCATGGGAAAAGGTAAGTTCATTTTCCAAGGGATAAAGGCATATGGCCATCTTAGTCACAGAACTTGGATAGAACTGCTAATGTTTATTGGTTTGGCTAACATTTATTGAGCACTTATTATGTACCAGGCAGTGTGCTAAGCGCTTTACGCTTCTCACAAGAAACCTGTAAGGCAGTTATCTTTGTTTAATGGGTGAATGAAATGTCTCAGGGAAGCCCTGCCCGGGCCTCACAACTGAAAACTGCAGGTGCTCAGGGCCAAGGCCAGTTGAGTCTGGCTCTAGAGCCTGAATAGCAACCACGGTGCTCTGCTGAAGGAAGCAACATCAGGTGTCCAAACAGAAGAGCCTGGCTGTTGACCTGCGGGGTGAGGCAGTGGGGACCACTCAAAGGCTGGAAAATGTCCCGGTCAGTTAGCAAGCCCAGACCCAAGGGATCGGATCAGAGGCAGCAAAATCATGTCCCTGCAAGTAGATGTGAAGTGCCTGTTGTTTCTACATTTGGAAAATGTTACACAAGCAGCACAAGACTATTTAGTTATTATCTTTTATTTTTGTTCTTAGTTATTATGAATCACCCAAATTGCCAGGATATACTGAAGGTGGAGCAGTGCCCACTAGTGCCAGTCCAGGTTCGAATGTGGGCAGTGCCCGGCATCACACCCATCTCTAACTGGTTTTTATGAATACTGGTAAAAGAAAGGACTGAGAAGTAATTCAAAATTTATTTATTTTATTGTGTGTATTTTAGGGAAGAGTCTACAGGGTGTTCAGGGTCTCACTACTGGATCAGACCCATAGTAATCTGCCTGTTTACAGTCTCTCAAGAGCTGGGATGACAGGCGTGTGCCACCAAACCAGTCTCAATTGCTGTCTCAGTGCACCCTGGGGGTGGGGCTGGCATGGCAGGCCTGGGGATCAAACCCTGGCCCCTGTGCCTGCTTGAAGGTACTTTAATCTGCTGAGCTATTGGGCCGACCCTCAAAATTTAAAACCAAACCAAAAATATCTTACTGCTATGGGAAGCTACTTCTGCAAAATCAACCTATTTTAAAGGAATAGGTTGTCAAGAATCTTTCAATGTTCCTCTGACCACTCTTGCTTAGCTAATTTAAACAAACCAGGCTTTATTTAGTCTCCTTATTAGGGTGGGGATGTTGCTAGTAGAGGCCTTCACAATTTAAGATTGGCTAGAATAAATGAGTGAGCAAATTTGTGTAGCTCAAATTACTGACCTCTGTGTTTTTCTTTTTCTTTCTTTCTTTTTTTTTTTTTGGTGGAACCGGGGATTGAACTCAGGCCCTTGCGCTTGCCAGGGAAGTGCTTATTCCACTGAGCCATCTCCCTGGCCCCTCTGTGCTTTTCTTGACACCAACACATTCCTTACATTACTGTTTTAGCAGAAGCCAGGAAAATAACTGTATAACAGAAAGTTGTCCTACTGTATATTGCTTACTGTACTGTTAACAATGGTGAGTGGTCAATAGCCTTCTGTTCCGTTAGCAAAGTGGGCTGTGACAGTCATCTGATCCAAGTTTCATCCTCTGAAGAACATCTCCCCTCCAAGCGACACTCAGCTCCCACCTGATTCCTGGTTTTGAGAACTCCCCGCAGCAAACCATCCCACCACGAAGTCACCTAACTGACTTATCTTCTTCCTTTTAGTCTGGTGAAATTTGCCTTCCTCTAACCTACTCTTTGGCGTTCATTCTGTCCTTTAAGGTTTATACTGATTGTCCCTTCTTCCGGAGTCTTTGTTGACATTTAGAAACAGCAGATCTTCCTTCTGATGGCCTTTCCTGTAGACTAAGCGTCCTTGAGGTAGTAAGGGTGATGATGTGCCCCAGAGCTGACTAACACCCAGGTAAAGGGTCTTAGTCACCCTGACTAGCCCTCCTAGAGCAGCACTACTCCTGCCACTGAGGAGGATGCTGACATTCCTTACACTCCACGGCTGCACTGGTTCCCTTGTTATTTGTACCACATTATCAATTCATTCTAAGCTGGTGGCTAGTAAACCCTCTACATCTTTTCTTTTAGTGACCTGTTCTTGTTGAACAAGATGAACTCCTACTCTGTGTAACTAAAAATACATGTCCATTATATAAGTTGTTTTGCTCTCTATGGTCCATTAGGATCAGTATGAAGCTGGTGGAAGGTCAATTCCCATCTCAATGAAAGTTTTTCTACATATTTTTGGGGTCGTCTGGCACATGCAATCCAAAAAACAATTTGTTACTTACTCATTAGCATTCAAGCTAGCTGTGGCTCTGATGATCATGTAGCAGAGTGTGAGAGCACTGAGGAGGCCAAAACTGGCAATAATAAACCATTCTTCTGTTGACAAAGGAAAGGGAGGGAGTCACTCGGGCAGAAGGTTTAAGTCAAATTGTGTCAACATCTCCCTCAAATGCAACGAAGCCGACGTCAGCGGAGGTGTAAGCCAAGACTGGCTCAAGGAAGTGAAGCAGAGGAGGCTTGCCAGAGAGCGACTAACTGGAGGAGGTTAGTGGAGGTTCTGGTAAAAGGTGCAAGGGAGAAAGGAAAGCAGGGCTCGACCCCTTCTTCCAGTGTAGGTCATGAGTTCCGTAGGAGGTGGCCGCCAAAGGTACACAGAAGAAGTATGTCTATAAAATTGCACATGGACATCGACATGTTCACTTAATGTACCTTAAATGACAGGAGAGTAATCACAATCATAACCGTCCTCCAAGCTTCATTCTGTCATCTCTGTATGCTGACCGCTCCTTCCTAGGAAAGGCTCAGAATGTGGAGTAGGCTCTCAGAGGTCCCGTGGGCGCTCCGAGCAGCGAGCAAGCCGGCCCCACGGCCTTCACCCCCACGCCTTCTCCCGTGGGTCTGCTTAGGGTATTTACATTAACAGGACTTCTCCTTGGCGTGTGAAGAAAACAGACGCCAGCCTGCATAGTCCCACAGCTGGCAGGCAAGCTGGTTTTTCTGGCTTCATAGAGAAATGGAAGGGGAGGCGTCTGACAAGGTACTGGGCCACCAAGGAGCAGAAAACTTCTGTGTACAGAACCTAGGGCTTTTGATCTACTATCTCTGTCTCAATCCAGGAATTTAGTTGCTATTTTCCTTTTTCAGTCAAGATAACATTCAAAAAATAATACTTATCAAGAACTTCAAAAGTAATGAGAACCCATCTGACTTCCTAAAGATCTTAACCATGAAGCATTTCCTAGAGTACATCTAACAAGGGGTGGTCTGACAAGTTACTACTCAGTAAAATTCCCCCACATCTGTAATTAGGCTGAGAAGAAATCTTTACACTTGGCATGTCAAATGTTTAGACACAAAAGTATGTAACATGGTTCCTTTTGGGGGCAGTACTGAGGATTGAACCCAGAGGGCGCTCTACCACTGAGTAATAGCTCCATCACTTTATTGTATTTAGTACAGGGTCTACAGGGTCTCACCACGAAGATCAAACTCATAGTGATTCTCCTGTTACCAGCCTCCCAAGTGCTGGGATTACAGGCACGTGCCACCATGCCCAGTGTCAACTGCCCAGGGCCGGCATGGCATACCAGGGATTGGACTTGGACCTCTGCACCCTGCCTAAGCAGGTGCTTTAGTCCCCTGAGCTATCTGGCCAACCCTCATTACTTTATTTTGAGACAGGGTCTTGCTAGGGTGCTCAGAACAGCCCTGACCTTGTGATTCTCCTGCTTCAGGCTCGTGAGAGGCTGGGATTACAGTCACACCCTACCATGCCTGGCATGTAGGTTCTTAGTCTATTTTATGAACCTTACAGCTAAATACATAATTGTGTGTGTAGAGGGATTTTTCTAGGAAAATTCACTGTACTTTCATTAGATTGTAAAGGATAAAAGCTGTGGCTGTGTTTGTTCTACGAGTCCCTGCTTCGATCAGTTTATGTTAGCAAAATGCTTAGTAAACTCTCTAGTGCAGCCATTGCCTCATCATCAGAGTGAAGCTTTTTGTCTAAGTCAAACTGCACATTAAGAATCTGTACAAAATCCATCATTTTAATATGTATATATTCTAGGTTAAAAATGTATATTGGCATTTAAAAAAATCAAGAAGTGAGCAAACGATTGTCATCATCAAGTAGAATAATGCAGCATCCTCTCTTTTTCCTTTTTTGTAATTCTCCATGTATTAAGCATGCAATTATTTTACATATAAACAGGTAACACTTAGAAATTTAATTATATCTACATTTTTGAATTCTGAATACACATACATGTGTGTACTAATCATTTCACTTACAAAAACTCATGTTTAAGAAGAAAGACCAGGGGCCAGGGAGATGGCTCAGTGGAATGAGTGCTTTCCTGGCAAGCGCAAAGGCC